TATATTGGCTGTGGGATCCAATAAGAGACGCCTATATGTTATACTGTCTATTGGGGATTCTTGTATGGGACACCACAATGAATGAAATGCTGTGTAAATATATACAAAAAATGTAAGAAAAGCATCAAACTAAAACCATAATCCTGGAAGTATGAGTCTGACTAATTAATCAGCTACTGAACTAGCTGGCTGGGAAGGCTGCCTCTCCAAACGGGTTGAGAAACCGAACACTAAGAGAGGGAAGGGGGAAGGAGGCTCCAAACTGCAAATAGTGAAGTGCTATTAACATTTATTGACAGTTCCAAATCGCATGACAAGTCGAACCCTATTGTCGACAATGGAACCGTAGGAGTCGCACTGATTTTGAAAATATTTCCTGCACTATTTTTGACAATTGTAGGTGCGACATGAAGTTGCACAAATATCAGGCAAGTTGCACCTGAAATCGCACTAACCTGAGGCTTTGAAATCGCACTACAAGTCACATTCAGTGTGAACCAGGGCTTAGTCAACAAACATAGAAAAACAAGGTATCACTCACAAGCATCTTGATTAGTGAAGCATGGGAAGTGAAAGTCTGCAGCCGATAGGGAAATCCTTAAAGGATCCAAGCTGCTGGGATCACCAAGGAGCAGGCCATGCCTGAGCTGAGACCAGCAGAGCTGCCAGGGAAGCCCAGTGGAGCTGTCAGGAGCAGGAATGCTGTGAGCCAATAGGAAAGTGTTTAGGAGGACAAAGCCATGCCTCCATAGGGCATATGTACTCCAGGAAGTAAATGCTACATGAATCACCTGCCCTTACTCAAGATGGCACACTGCCAGAAATGCCGGGGAGGGTGTTTTTCAAAATGATTTCTCAGCAAAATAAAGCATGGAGACATGGATGGATGGTTGAGTTTGATTTCAATATTAACAATGAATTAAATGGCATTTTTGGTTTGTAGTGCTTAGATGCAGTGCAGTTCCAGTTTAATAAAACTACACTGCACTATACTGGCGGTTTGGTGCCTCTCTTCTCCCTCTTCCTTCTCCCCCCTAATCTTCAAAATAAACCTGTCATGGGAGGATTATTAAAATGTTAGTTGCCTAGCTGCTTTGCTGTTTGGCTGGCTTCAGCACTTTGCGAGTTACTGACTTGTAAGAGGTATGCAGATGAGCCGTGTTGGAGAATACAAGTTTTTCTAAGAATACATAGCCAGAGTTAGTTACTCAGGAAGTAAATAGGACCAGTATGGCAGACTGTAACCGGAATCTTCAGAAGGGGAAGTCAGAAAGGGCACCTGTGGTGTTTGTCTTATGACGGGTTCCCTTTAGCTCTCTTATGAGGCTACACAGATCGATGCCAATACCGAGTAATTTCATGAGTACTTGTGAAAATACTACCAATACCTTAACTGATACTTTGCCGTGTTAATTTCATTAATGGACGTAAATTGCACTGCAGAGATTAGCATTTGATTTGAACAGGAATGCGATTTCTGTTCAAATCGTATGCGGTATCCCCACTACTTCTGTGTGAACGCAGGCTTGTCATAGCGCGAGTTGACACGGGCGGTGCGGGAAATCTCCCTGCAGACATCCCATGCTGAGTGTCAGTGGTAGGAGAGGAGAGAAAGCGGTGGGGATTTGAAACCCCAGCCGCTTTCTTTCCTCTCCTTGCAGCGGTGACAGTTCGGGGTAGACCGCATCTGATTGGTCAGCAGCGGACAAGAAATCGCATTCCTGTTCAAATCGCATGCAATTTTTTGAAGTGCAATTTGCATGCATCAACGCAAATCGCCCTGCAAAGTACTTGTGCTTGGCGATTAAAAAACAACAAAAAAAAAAAACGGACTCCGCGCATCCCTAATCTCCAGTATCATGCCAAGAATAATGCTAATATTACCCAGAAAACCCTCATTGTGCAAATTTGAAGCGTAAAAACTTTAAACCTGAACTATTCCACTGAAAATTTCTGATCCAGCATTGAAGAGCAGCAGGATGTCGCCATGTTTCTCCATTACCATAATTACTAAGATGACGAGTGGTTGGATGGGGACGCTGGAGGGGAGATCTGCTGTATAGGGGTGGGCTCATGTCATAATGTGCACTGCATACTTGCACATTAGGGTACACTTTCCTCCTAGGGTCTCCTTCTTTAACAAATGCAGATCAAGGTTTGCAGTCACAGCTTTGTCCCTTGGCATAATCTTCACTTCCTCTTCCAGGTCCTGTATTAGTCCTTTTTGGCAGTTGGGCTGTCAGTGATGTAACCCTGCACATACACACAGCAATTACAACTTCCTCTTTTCCAGGAGTATACACTGCGCACGTGCTGGAATTGCATCTCTCTGCCAAAAAATCTCCCCCTGCTAACAATTTTTACACTTATGAGTTTGTTTCTACTTTAAACACACTGCTTAAAATCCCTCCTGCAAAATGAACCCTTCACTTGGCTCAGTATGGTCAAAGTAAAAGTTCACTTTGGACCGGGCCATGGGGATATGTCCCTTGAATATATACATCGCATTGCAGTGTCTCCCAGGCAAAAAAAAAAAAAAAGAGCATACACGAAAGAAGTGCCAAACCAAAAGATGAGTCCAAATTCATTTTTTAACATTGTGCTAAAAAAAAAAAAAAAAAAAAAAAAACGCATTTCGGGTCAGAGGAGCTCCCCCTTCACCAAGGCTTCAGTTAAAATTGAGAACCTTGAAAGGACCCGAAATAAGGTTTTCTTGTCTGAATCTGTGCAAGTAAACAAATTGCTGGATAGGAAGAATTACTGGCCAGCAGTATCTGCATGTGTAATGAAGCTCTTATTTTGAGTCCATTCAAGATCCTAATTTTTACCTAAAGCGGAGTTCCACTCATCCTGTCAAAAAATAAAAAACAGCATCTATAAAAACTGTAGCTGCTGACTTTTAAAAAACAGCCACTTACCTGTCCCTCAGTCCTGTGGTGTGTCCCTCGCTGCCCGTTTCTCCTGGATTCCTGGGAGGCCGGCATCTTCAGTGTGGGCCCCCGGCTGTGACTGCTTGTGGCTTCACAGCCGGGTACCCACTGCGCATGCGCGAGTAGCGCTGCACTTCCTTAATGGTCCTGTAGTCTTCTGGGACCTGTCACGTGTCCCAGAAGACTACGGGGAGGGAAGGAGGGGGGACACCTTCCATTTCCGATCACCTAGGCGGTCCGACCGCAATTGGGAGCTGGTACCTGTCAAATTTGGGTACCCGCTCCCCCACCCCCCAGAGGTGCCAATCCTTAATGGGGAGTGGGGGAGCAGTCCTTAAAGCGGAACTTCCCCTTTTGGGTGGAGCTCCACTTTAAGCCTTGATAAAAGGGGGAGTTCCTTTGAACCTCGAAATGCATTGGCGTTTTGTTTTTTTAGCACAATACCAATTTGGACTCTTATTGTTTGGTTTTGCGCTCCTTCCACGTATACACATTTTTTTTTTTTTCAGGGATCTGTCATGAGCAGCCTAATCTGAGCCAGTGGGCTGTTCAAATGTTTTTGCCCTCTCACTACTGTGTATAAACTCATATCAAAGCCCCAGCGCCTTTTGGATGTCTTTTTGTTTTTTTTTTTTTATCGAGTTCCCAAGACAGAATTGGCAATTATACCTAAATAATGAATGACATTGCAGGCCCCCCCCCCTTTTTTTTTTAACATTGGAAGATATTGTGCTTGAGAGTGGATAGCTACAAAGCACAAGTCAAATGACATTAAAATTGGAATGCACTGTTCAAGCAGTCCTGCTGATTTCTCTGTTACATGTTCTCTGTGTGGCTGAAGTCACTACATTGTAGAGATAATTGTACTCTACAGAGTCCACAGGTCAGTGCACATCTCTTGATTGTAGTGAGTATAGGATCACAATGCCTTAACTGTTTAGGTGTGAAGAAAATGTAGAGTAGTTGTGTGCATATTTTTTTTCTTTCTGACAGTCAAAATTAAAAAATAATTTTTTAATGTAATAAATATGAATATTGTGTATTGGGTCACCTTTACCCTTACGTACCCACTGAACGATTTATGATGGACTGCTCTTCAGAGGGCATTTGACAAGTGGTGAAGAGGCATTACGTTGTGGTGTGCCCCCATTCAGGTGAAAAGGTTGGCCTCAACAGGTGGTCTTGTCTGCCGAGCATGACGGGGGGGATAATTTTTTGCTCTGTCATATGTACACCTCTGTCTTTGAAACTTACAGGTGTGGTTGGGGGTGCAACTCAGCCATGTGTTTTTTGTTTTTTTTTTTCTCCACCCATCCGAACCGCAATTTTAAAGGAGGCCTTAGTTTTCTTTACATAATTCTTCATTATTGTGATTACTTTACAGATGTGCCTGTTTAGAGAATTCTGAGTAATCACAACTTTGACTTATCCCTTATCAGACAGCCACATACAAGTTTATCAATATTTCAGGGAGTATGAAATTGCCTTTGAGGATCAGAAAATTTTGTTTTTTCCTATGTATAGTCCAAGGTTTTACCAGACAAAGAAAACAGCAAATCAAGCTGCTTCAGTGGTGTCACTAATGTTTGGTGTCACCAGGTGACAACCCCCTTGGTTACATTTGGTGACACCAAACCCTGACACACAACCCCGGTGACATTCAGTGTTCTCCTGGGTCTGCTCCATCTCCTGCCTGCCGCTCTCCTTGCACAGAGATTCTTGGACCCCGCCCACCACTTCCTCTTCACTGCCGGCCGCCTCCACCAATCAACAGTGCCCATCCAATATGGACTTCCTGCACACCCTGTCGGTATCACCATGGAGACCGCTGGGAAAAGGGAAGGAGAGGTAAATGATGTGGACAGTGTCACCCCTGAGGCAGTTGTCACCCAGTTGTGGTCCGCAACCATAGCAATGCCACTGAGCTGCTTTGCTAAGCTGTGCTAACTCTTTATATAACCCATATTGGTCTGAGAAACGTTTGTATTAAAATTTAAATTGTAAAAAATAAATCTAGATATAAAACACAGTTGCCTGTATACAGTATATTCCCTCTTCATCATCTTGCAGGTGTCTGCGATCAGAGCTTTGGAATACATGTAGCAGAGCTGGCTAACTTTCCGAAGCATGTAATCGAAAATGCCAAAGCAAAAGCATTAGAGTTGGAGGAATTCCAGTTCGTTGGGGCTTCAGCAGACTCTGAGGATGAACCAGCCTGCAAGAGACGCTACAAAGAAAAAGAGGTTTGCCATTGGTTTTATATTTACATATCTCATCATCTGTTCTGTTATCTCCTTCTGGGAGCTTTTTAAGGAGGTTGACCGTTTTCATGAAAAAGTTCTCTTTTTCTAACCTATCCATGTAGTCACAGGAGTGTACATGCGCTCGTGCGCACACACCGACCGCATTCATACTTATCCCAGTTCAGGCCTATGTAACTTACCACATGCAAATGACTCTCCCAAGCATGGGGTATGCTGGCAAAACTGATCAATATTAATAAAGCCTTATTAAGCCTGCCAACTTGACTTCATCAACCCAAAATTACACTACTAACCTCAATGTATACCGGTAAGTAGATGTTACTGGAAAGTGCATCTTAAGATCCTATCTTTATTATTACACCATACAAAAATTAAAATAGAAATTACACAAACCCCATTAAAACAATCCCCACATATCCACCGCAAATCAATACTAAACTATTCCATTTAATATTGGTAGAACTATATCCTGATGGTACTGAAGCCCATGTATGACTTTTATAGTGTGATAATCCGACTGAAAGCTTTAAAAAAAAAAAAAAAAAAAAGACCATATGGTACATATTAGACAGACATAGCAAATAAAATAGTAACACATCCCGGGAATTCCTCTTCTCAGTTATAAAGAGTGAATATGACAGTGTCCATAATGCATGGATATGAAGCTGGAACTTATTACATGAAAATGCCATTAAGTAGTTGTTACAATGTCTTGACAGTTAATCCCAAAATGAATTCTAAAATAATATTCGGAGACCACTATCCAAAGCACCTACAGTGTGTCAGACATGTAAGAATCCTTTTGCTTACAGTTCAGTTTCCTTCTATTCATGGCAAAGCACCAGATTCTCTTACCTTCCCACCTTTCCAATAACACATTACGTTGGCTCCTTGAATAGTTTCTCTACTGGAAGCAATGATAAATCATGGGAAAAGTTAAAAATTCACTTCAAACCTATTATTGTTAAAGGTGATTACTTGAGGCATTGTTGCCCAAAGTGTGGTGTCCTTGATGAATGTGTGTGGTATGTAACCAAGTTTAAGGTTCTTTATGTGCAAGACCATTTTGTGAGGTATATCCACTCTAGTGTTATAAATGGCACATTCTAGAGTGAGCATATTGATGTAGCTCAAAGTGCCTGCTTCTGTGTGCTCAATGGGAGGGTTTGCAGAGGACAGTTCTTAAGATAATGGTCCAGCACACTGGCCAACTTGGGATGCAGATAAAGGGGAAGGGAGTGAGGAAGAACTGAGAGTTCATGGAGAAATACTTGGTCAGTGACACACTGTAGGTAAAGCAGTGCTTTGATATTTAGATGGGTGGTATTCACACTCCACATCCTTGGTTGGTGCCCAACCTGCAGCTCAGGGGCTACATATGGCTCTGACATTTATGCCTTGTTCATGCCATATGTTTTGAGCACACCACTCCATATGCATAGTGGGCATATAGAAAACGGTTTTGTCTGTGCCCTGTTCACACCATACAGGTGCGGTAGTGCAGAATAATGCATTTTAAACAAGCCCTTAGTGTACAGCCCTTGGGTTCCCTCCAACAGTGTTCCGAAAATATAGGTTCTTACTGGGTCTAATGAAGAAATAATCTACTTTATACTGAGTTCTCTTATTAAAATGGCTAGGTTTAACTCTTTAACACTTAAATAGTTTCCAGGCTGTCCATCCCTTTATCGTTAATAATGGATCTTGCCATCAAATGTGGCACACGTCATTTTAAAGGATGCTGTAGGGAGTGCACACGTGGAAGCATTCAATAGTCTGGTATAGCAGTGTTCTCTTACAGACTCATATAATGTGCCTCCAGTCTAAGGCAAGCCGTATATTAACCACTTCCCGACCGGCCGTTGCATATAAACGGCCGGACAGTGGCAGGGCAGGGTCGCTCCCTGGGAGCGTGCAGCACCGCGATACGGTGCCCGCTGTGTTCTCCGGACACAGTGAAACACCGATCGTCGGACGGGACCTCTGTACGAGGTCCCGATCATGTGATCACTGATTGGCCAATCAGTGATCACATGCAAAGTAGTAAGCAAGATGTCACTTGTGACATCATTGCTTACTACGTGTGAAATCTGTGAATGATCACAGAGGTCACATGGTACAAGGCTATTCACAACAGCCTTGTACCATGTGACAAGCTGTGACCAATCACAGCTCACTCAGTACTTCTCAATGAGTGCAAGAATGCAGACAGAGAGAAAGAGAAATGATTGCTTTTACATCCTATATGGGTGTAAAAGCAATCAGTGTAAAAAAAAAAAAATCTTCATCACCCCCCACAAGTAGTACAGTGTTACCATGGTGACACTGTACTGCTAGGGTGACAGTATGTAAAAAAAAAAAAAATAAAAAATAATATAAAAATGTAAAAAAAAAAATGTTTAAAAGTTATAATTTTTGGTTATAAACTAATCTGGATTTTTTTTTTTACTAAAAAGATAACTGAATAAATTTTGGCCAAGATTTATGATGAAATATTTATTTTCAAAATTTATAAAAAAAAAACACTTTTTTTCAAAAATTTTTGGACTTTTTCATTTACATAGCAAAAAAAATTAATCCCAGCGGTGAATAAATACCACCAAAATAAAGCTTTATCTGTGTCAAAAAATGCTAAAAAATTAATTTGGGTACAGTGTTGCATGACCGCGCAGTTGTCATTCAAAGTGTGATAGCGCTGAAAGCGCTGAAAATTGAATTGCCCTGGTCAGGAAGGGGGTAAAAGTGTCCGGTCTGGAAGTCGTTAATCAATTTTATTTCTTTCTACCACAGGTGGAAGGAAAGAAAATTACTGGCTTCACCCATCAACACAATCAGGAGAGCCTTCCTGACTAGTAGAATACAGTGATTACTGCTATTGGCTAAATTCAAAGGCAGTAATCGAATGCCAAAAATCTGTCAGGCTGGTTGTACCCAAGGCGATCGAAGGATCGACTGAGGTACAATCAGCCTGTCCATAGATGGAACGAATCTCATCCAGTCCCTGCTGAACCAGCTGAGATTCAATCCATCTATGGCTGGCTTTAAACTGGATCTAAGTCTGTTTCCAGAAGCATATGTGATATCTCTTAACAACACCTATAGCATTTTTGCAGTCTCTGACCATCTGCTGTAGCATTGCAGTTTCTGACCATCTTATTATAACATGCCTGTAGTCTTTTATTATCTCCAGTTGCATGTCTGCAGTAATACAGCCTTAAGTAGCAATGCACTCAATAAATTATTTTATACGGCTCTATGGTGATTTCAGGGACCACACTTGAGGCTCCCTAAATTAAGATCGTTATCCATCACCGCTCTGCATGTTTTTTTTCTGGTGACTTACTATTGGCAAAAGTTAAAAAAATTGACCTGGGGATTTCTGCTTAAGCATAAAGTGTAAAGGCAGTCATACGTGTATGGAATATTGGCCAGATCAGCAGGGACCGGCCGAATTTCAATCCATGTATGGGCTTGCTGGTTGTACATAAGTCGATATATCATTTGACTTTGATTTGAGCATGTCTGGGTTTTTCCTGAACAATCAATGCCACCTGCTATCAACAGCGACACCGATCAATGTATTTTGTCAGCAGGGAAGTCTCCCCAACAGCAGAATACAATAGCACAGTGGGTTGAACGAAAACAAAAATGAATCATGTATGGCTGGCTTAAGGGTGGCCACAAATGGGCAGATGCCTCCCTAAGAACTACAGGTGGTGAGATATCTTTTCATTCTAAAATCAGTTGGATGGTAGCACCCATGCAATGTTGACACTATGTCATGCTCATGGTAGAATTTCAAAGAAAGACTGCTCCAAACTCCATGAATAGTTCTCAGGTCCATGGGCAGCCCGTAAATGAGTCAGGTTTTTGTTTTTATTTTGTTCTTCCACCAGCGGCTTGAACGAAAAAAAACCTGACTCAATTCTCTCAGCCACACACTTGATGTGGATTGGAGGTCATCCCTTTGTACTATTGCATTCTGACAGCAGGGAGGATCCCTGCCATCAGAATACACTGATCAGCATTGCAGGCGACAGGGAGGTTGTACAGAAGTTGATTGGCAGATCAACTTCCTTACAACCTCCCTGCCAATACATGGATCAAAATTCAGCCAGTCCCTGCTGAACACGCCACATTTTGATCCAAATATGGCCGAGTGTACCTGTGCCAGGTGCCAACTTCTAGGAGCTGGTCCCTCTCGGCATAGATAGCATGGCAGAAAATGAAGTTGCACTCTGTAGCCATTGCACCATAATGTTTGTTCAGTGTAACAGACTTCATTCTAGTCCTAACAGAGGTAACCTGATAGCTTGGTAATACAAAAGCTAGTTTACATTGTTCTTTGTCTTTGTGTTGCTTTTAAATAATATATTCTTTTTTCAGTGGGTTTAAAAGTCGTTTAGTCCCAGCTGTCTCCACCTTTATAAATAAGCCCAGCTGGGGTGAAACATAGGGCAGGGACCAAGTCACAAGCCTGTTGCATTGAATGAACAATATGGTGTGATACCTGTAGAGTGCAGCTTCATTTCCTGCCCTGCTAAATTGCTTCAGACACAAATCACGCCTGCTCCAAGTGGCATGGCAAATCTTCCTGTGTGTCTAGGTCCTTACTGTCCAGTAATAGACATCCCGGGAAAAGGGAGCAATGCTTTTATTTTTTAGTCTGTCGTGATCAACCCAAATTCCATATAATTGGTCCTGTGGTCTTCACTATTTTACCAAATAGGAATGTTTTTTTATTTATGTGAACCTTTCTCTTCTTTTCTTTCAGGAAGGGGAGAAGATAATTCAAGATTTTCTCACCAAAGTGAAAGCTCTTCCACTTACTGAAATATCTGAGCAGGAAATAAAAAACAGACTGAATCAGCTGAAGGCTGATGTTCTAGCCAGGAATAATGGTTTCGTCAATGAAGTTATCTGCCGCACAAAAGCTGCATGCTAAGCCCCAGGAGGAGCAGTATGTGTCTGGGGAGGTGATCTCTGTATCTGGCTGTTCTTACCGCTCTCTGCAATACTGTAGAAAATACACGACATGCAGCTATACTGTAGAAATCCAATAAAACAGTGTTCTTTTGTTTTTTGTACGTGTGTGGTCCGGAGTTTTTCAGAACAATTGCAAAATGTTATCTTAGATAAAACTTATGTGCTTTCTCAGTAGAAATATAGCTTTCCTGAATGACATAGGCCTAGTTCAACCAGACGTACTTAAAAGAAGAATGGGGTTATGATAAAAAAAAAATTATACTCGCCTAGGTGGATGTAGCATTGGTCCATGCTATTTCTGTCCCCTGCCGCTTCTAAGACCTGAGCGATCAAAGTCCTGAACGCTCTGTTCTCAGCCTTCAGTGAGTAAAGAGCAGTGACTCTGTTATCGAATCTCTGCTCTGCCCCCCCAGCACTCAATGAGAGCCGAGAGGCTGAGCCAGATGCTGGTCCAGGCATTGGGTGGATTCTGACCATATGGTCAGGATGTTTTCAGAACCCGCACCGGCTCTGTGACATCAGCTGAAAACGGGTCACAGGCGTGCAGAACAAAGTACACTCCTGGGATCCACAGGTGAAGTAAAGCTATAAAACGTTTGGCCATACTTCTCCCTTAACCCCTTCCCGCCTGCGCCTCCCGACCCTTTAAGAGTTTCAGAAGCCGGGAGGTGGGGTGGGGGGGTTTAGGGATCATGTGACCGCCGTGACGCGCCGTCACGGCGGTCACATGATCGGGAAAGGTCCCGATCGAAAGAGCAGACCGGGACCTTTCCGTGAGTGTGATGGGAGTGCGCAGGGTGCACGCTCTTAGCACATATGTTTTTTGTTAATTGCACGCAAATGTGCGGCCCGCTCGGCATCTAGGCCCAGATGCCGGGAGGCCGCACATTTGTGTGCGGCCAGCGTGAAGAGGTTAAATGTACGCCCGCTCAAGGGCTGTGTCTGCCCATACAAGGATGCGCATTCATGTCAGTTGGGACACAGCTCCATAAACACTGCTGCTGCTTCCACCGTGCAGGTGTGCATCTTCGAATACAAAGCATTTGGGGCCATCCACCTGTATGGCTGTCAGATTGAGAGAAGTGATTGTGTCCTTGCAGCTTGCTGTATCCCAGTTTTTTTTTTTTTTTTTTTTTTTCTTTTTTTTTTTTATAATTTAAATATTTATTCATTTTTCATTTAAAAACAATACACATTTCCATAATTTTGAAAATATAATATTACAATTTCTCATAAAGCACTGATTTCGTATCATTTTCATTTTCTCCCCATAGCTCCCTTAACCCATTACCCGCCCACCTCCCACCCCACTACTATATACCCCTGACATCTGACTGATTAACTTGTATCTCATATTCTCTGGATACCTAGGTTTGATAGCAAAAGAAAGAGAAAGAAAGACAGGCTAATTACTATATTTTCTCCTTTTTCCTAATCCTTTCCTCTTTTCTCTTCGTTTCTTCTTGTCCTCTCTTTCCCTTTTCTTTATGCTTACTTACTCAGTACCTTTCTTTACCTTTACTTTGAACTCCTCCCATTTCTCCCATTTCATATGATATGTCACCATCCTATCTTCCTGTAGATAATAGAGTTTTTCCAATCTAGCAATCTGATCTACTCTATTCATCCAATCTTTTTCACTCGGTGCTTCAACTTTACGCCAAAACTTAGGAATCAGACTTTTTGCTGCATTTAGGTAGCCCAGTATACCCAGTTCTTTATATTTATTTCCAGATAGTATTGAGTTATGGAAAAGACAGATTTCAGGATCCAATCCTATCTCCATTCCAGTGACAATTGTGATTTGGTTTGTAACTTTTTCCCAATATATGTGTATTTTTGGACATTCCCACCATATGTGATACATCGTGCCCAACCCTCCACATCCTCGCCAACACCAGAGTTGCTTCTCCTCCCTCATCTTGTGCTCTATCACCGGTGTAACATACCACCTTGTCAAACATTTAAAATTCATTTCCACTTCACGCATACTAATATTTTCGTGTACCATTCTATATATTTTCCTCTGTGTGTGCTCTTCCCACTCCACTCCTAAATCCTTTTCCCATTTTTCTATATACTTTAATTTAAACTTACTATCTAAATCCGTGAGAGCTTTATATGCTTTGGCAGTGCTGTGTTTCCCATCACCTCTATCTTCTAAGTATTTCTCGAATTCATTCCATTCCACTCTTTCCTAGTTCTAAGGGGCTTCGTCAATTTCTCCACAAATTGTTTTAATTGATTATATCTCCATATATCTATCCCAGTGAAAATCCTTCCCTCTTCCTTTTTCAAATCCTCCAGTGTTCTTAAGTTTACCCCCTCCATTACATCTCTCAACTGAGCGTCTTCCTTCATAATCCATCTACCTGAGATTTCCTCTTTACCTGGGGGAAAAAAATCTGAATTTCTTAGTGACATTAATAATGAATTAAAATCCCATTTTCTCTGTTTGTGCATTTTATCCCATTCCCTTATTACAATCCTCGTGTATACACTCGTGCTCTCCTCTAATTCTCTAAATTGTGGTGGCTCCCATACACTCCTACCTAAATCCTTTCTACTAAGTGTATTTTCAATTGTGACCCAATGTTTACTCTTTGAATTGTGTGTCCAGTCAAAAATTCTCGCTAGAATGACTGCCCTATGGTATCTTTTAAAATCCGGGACTCCCAACCCTCCTTTTTCTTTATTTCTGCTTAGCACTTCATATGATATCCTAGGTTTTTTATTTTTCCATATATATTTAGTTACTATTCGCTTAATTGTCCTAAAATACACCTCTGGAAGATTAATGGGTATCATCTGGAATTTATACAGTATCTTAGGGAAAATTACCATTTTTATCAGATTAATACGGCCCAACCAGGAAGGATTTCCTCCACCCATTTTCCTCAATTCCTCTCTGATTTCATTTAACATTGGGATATAATTAGCTTTATAAAGATTCTTCTGTGAGGGAGTGAATTTTACCCCCAGGTACTTTATTTCTCTATTTTTCCATATAAAGGGAAACTCTCTCTGTATATTTTCTTTTTCACTTTTTGGAAGGTTTATATTTAATATCTCTGTTTTGCTCGGGTTGATTTTTAAATTTGACATTTCCCCATATTCCTTCAGTGTTTTCATTAGGTTAGGAAGAGTTATCCTCGGGTTTCCAACATAGAATAATAAATCGTCCGCAAATGCGTCTATCTTATGTTCTGTCTTTCCAACATTTATTCCCTTTATATCTATATTTTTCCTAATTGTTGATAACAGGGGTTCCAGTGATAAAACAAACAACAGTGGGGACAGTGGGCATCCCTGTCTGGTTCCATTTGACATTGAAAAGGTCTCTGATCTCTCTCCGTTTACCATTACCATCGCAGACGGTCCTTCATACAGCTTTCCAATCCACTTTCTCATCCTACTACCCAATCCCAGGACCTCCAGTGTATCCATCATAATACTCCAGTTAACCCTATCGAACGCCTTCTCCGCATCTATCGAGAGCAGCACTACTGGATTTTTTTCCATTTTACTCTTCTGTATAAGCATCAGGGACCTCAACCCATTATCTCGACCCTCTCTTCCTCTAACAAAACCCACCTGGTCTCCATGTATCCAATCTGGCATCAGATCTCTTAACCTATTCGCCAATACTTTTGCATACAACTTCGTGTCTACATTCAATAACGATATTGGTCTATAACTTGCACAATGGGTGATATCTTTACCTTCCTTATGTATTAAGACCACCTGTGCCAGAAGGGATTCCTTTCTTATTTCCATCTCTCCCCCCCAACGCCTCCATATATCTCTTTAATTTGGGTAGCAGTAAATCACTGTATTTTTTATAATACCTCACAGTATATCCATCTGGGCCTGGGCTTTTTCCCGTCTTAAAGCTTTTTAATGCTATTTTTAGTTCTTCCTGCGTGATTTCGGATTCTAAGGAGTTTAATAGTTCTTCACTTAATTTTGGTAATCCTGCATTTCTTAAATAATCCCTTCTTTTGTCAATATTTGTCATTTTATCTTTATTTATAACATCCTTAGGGGCAATATTATATAATTTACTGTAGTAATTTTTAAATACCTTTGCAATATCTTTAGTTGAATGGACTAACTCTCCCTTGGAGTTTTTTATTTTATCTATATAGTTCCTATTCTTCTTTCTCCTCAAGGCTCTCATCAGATATTTTCCTGGTCTATCTCCCCATCTATATCTTTCACCAATGATCTTATTAAAAGTTCTCATTTTTTCTTCCTCCATTACTTTCTCTAGTTCTTCCCTCTTTTTTATCACTCTTTGCTCTATCTCTTTCCTTATATTATTTTTATGTAGGAGTTCCATCTCAGCTATTTCCTTCAAAAGCCCACTGATCTTCTCGCGTCTTTCCCTTTTTTTCTTTGCCCCAATCGCAATAAGGATTCCTCTTACATATGCTTTATGTGCCTCCCACACTGTAGCTAGTGATACATCCTCTGTTTCATTTTCCTCAAAGAACCTCTCTATCTCCTCCCTGATCTTCCGGTCAGTATCTGGATCTGTGAGGAGTGTCTCATTCAACCTCCATGATAAGCCACCTGACCTTTTCCCTCCCCATTTTAATTCCATTACTACAGGTGCATGGTCCGAGATAGTTATTGCTTCTATTTCTACTTTAACCAAATCCTCAACAAGTCCATGGTCCACCAAAATATAGTCCAATCTAGAGTATGTCCTATGTACACTAGAGAAGAAAGTATAATCTCTATCTCTCATGTGGACAATTCTCCAGCTATCCACCAGTTGGCACTCTTTCATCACCATTTTCAATAATCCCATGGACCTATTTCCCCCTCTCTGTACTCCAGATGTTGTATCTATTTGTGGATCCATACATATATTAAAGTCACCCGCCACTATTAGATATCCCTTTCCAAAATCCATCAACCTTCTCATAACCCCTTTCAAAAACATCTCTGGCT